CACTCCTCCCCCTCCACCGGCATGCCTGGGGTGGCCCCTTGCTTTGGACTGGCTGGCAAGCCTTTAAGTGAAGTGTCTCAAGACCAGGAGCAGCAAGGTCTGCCGGGGGCGGCTTCTATGGACCAAAATTTCCCATTGGAACTTTATCCCTCCTATGGAAAATGCCCCATTCCCCCCATCCCCACCATGGCAATTTTTGATGACAATGTTTAGGGTGATAACTTGTGAAAACCCATAAATCAGATTTGGAGGGGGGACGGGGTCTGATGATTCAAGGTGGGGAGCCAAGACTGCTGATTTCTAGCCACAGTTATGGAGGGAGAGTGGAAGCTAGTGGGTTAGAATAAAGGGGGTGGGCATCAGAGCGCCTGGGTCCTGTCCCCAGCAGTGCACTGGGTGTGTGGCCTAATGGGTAGAGCTGGGATTCTAGTGCGTAGCAAAAGTTCCTTCCCAACCAGGGCTAGTTTCTCGGTATTCTGTGAGAGGAGCACAGGCAAACTCAATTAACTCTGAGGGCTCTCTGCCGGATTCAATATCAAATTTAACAGGAGCAGGGAAGTTTATTCTGCTTCCCTTTGTTTTCCAGCTGACCTCGAATGCATAACTGGAGAGCTTTGGTGGGGCTGAGTTGCACACTCAGTGTTCACTGGATCCAGTGGAGCAGTGAGCCAGCTCCTGTGGAGATGCACTGACATGGGCTTGACTGCATGGAGTTAGTCTGGCGTGCTCAGGCCTTGTCTGCACCCCAAGCTTGCCCTGTTTCCACGCGGGCATTGAGATGGATTCAGACACACAGATGCCAGTGGAGCAGTTCTGAGTCCCACCAGCAGAGGGCAGCCCTCACAGGACCACAGAGCCCGGGCCACGCAAGCCTTGTGGCTACTGCAGTTTATTCCCTCTCAGGGGCTGGTAACTGAAGTGGAAACAAAGCAACTGTTTTCCTTTCCCATCCAGGGTGTGACATTACATTGTTGTTTCTTCCATTTTTCTATGTTCTGCTGAAAACAAACTTCAAACAGCCCCAGAAAAATTTTTCCCCTGGAAAAGTGAGTAGGGAAAATTCTGGCTTCCCAAAACTAAAGAAGCAAGCAAACAAGAATCGGCCTCGCCATCTTTCCATCCCTCCCGTGTCTACAACTCGCTCACTCGCCCTCACTCTGCAAGACCAATAGGAAATTTTGGTTTAAAGTTTCCACAGAAAAAAATTCCCCAAAATAATTCTGGGAGGCAGGGAAAATACAATGTTTCTGGGAATGCCTCCAAGGGGTCAGTTATTTGGCAGTGAAAATGTGGCAGCCAGTGGATGTCACCAAATAGAGGTACAGCAGACCAGGCAGAGAGGCCATAACATGCATGGTGTGTGGCTTTCCTGGCTCTGCTACTGATGTGCTCCACAGCCTTGAGCATGTCTCTTGTCACCTTGGTGCCTACGTTTTCCATCCCACCTCGTCAGCATGGACGACAGGCTCTTTAGGATGAGGTGTCTCTCATTGGGTGTCTCTGCAGTAACTAGCATGATGGGGCCCTGAACCCGTCCCCATGTGTCTGGGCAGCGCCCGGAGCCCTGATCCCATCCCTGTGTGTCTGGGCAGCGCCCGGAGCCCTGATCCCGTCACTGTGTGTCTGGTGCCCTGATCCCGTCCCTGTGTGTCTGGTGCCCTGATCCCATCCCTGTGTGTCTAGGCAGCGCCCGGAGCCCTGATCCCATCCCTGTGTGTCTGGTGCCCGGCCGGAGCCCTGATCCCGTCCCTGTGTGTCTGGTGCCCTGATCCCGTCCCTGTGTGTCTGGGCAGCGCCTGGAGCCCTGATCCCGTCCCTGTGTGTCTGGTGCCCTGATCCCGTCCCTGTGTGTCTGGGCAGCGCCTGGAGCCCTGATCCCGTCCCTGTGTGTCTGGTGCCCTGATCCCGTCCCTGTGTGTCTGGGCAGCGCCTGGAGCCCTGATCCCGTCCCTGTGTGTCTGGTGCCCTGATCCCGTCCCTGTGTGTCTGGGCAGCGCCCGGAGCCCTGATCCCGTCCCTGTGTGTCTGGGCAGCGCCTGGAGCCCTGATCCCGTCACTGTGTGTCTGGGGGCCTGATGCCGTCCCTGTGTGGCTGGGCAGCGGCCGGCG